CCGCGAATAGTCTAGGACGCAACAATTCCAATTCCATTTGCTTACCCTCAAAAGAGAGGTGGCTTCCACCCTTAACACACCCCTAATATTCAAAGCAAAAAGAGCAAACTTTCAACAATTAACAATAATTGAAATCTAACATTTTAATCAAAAACTCAATATAAAATCATAATATGTATGAACACCACCACAAATTCTAATTACTTCAACAAAAATAAGCATTTTCTTCAAAATAACAGTACCATTCAGCTTATCATATGAAATTTATCAATGAACCTCAGCCATATAAAGTCAATGATACCTTACGTAGTTCCTTCTTAATTCTTATGTATGTTATATGGATTATTCTTCAACAATGATGCAATAATTTGCTCATCAATTTTACTTATTTTCTTATAGCACTAATTAAAAAATAATTTAACATTATTATTCAGTCACATGGTGATTTAATTCGGGTGATCTTTCGTCCACTCATGCAAGACCGTGCAGATGTTGATATGCTCTATTTGCAGCTTAAATGACGGGTGGAGATGCACAGTCTTCCCTACCAATCATACTTTAATGACAGCAATAAATACTGAGACCAACTTATCAACACAGAAGTTGAATTCCTGAACATAACAGAAAATGATTGAACATCACATCAATAACAACAAGTTTGAACGCAATTGTAGAGCTAGCAATCATCTGGACAGAGATCTTTCTGTAATAGAAGAGATGAGAACTTCCTTCTGAGCTGGAAGTTCTCAGCCTTGTTTGGGAAAATTATTAAGTGTGGATATCGGACGTAGAGATACGTCCGAATATTGACTTAAAATTTGACACGTATAGTGTACTTTTTGGGTTTATTTTTTACTTTATATATTTATTGTGTCCGTGGAACTTTTGTCAAGCGCATCAAAAGCACAGGTAAAGCGCAGTAAAAAAGCGCAATAAAAACGCAGTCAAAGCACTATAAAAAAGCGCAATAAAATAGCAATCAAAGCGCAACTAAAGTGCAAGTAAAGTACAGATAAAACGCATCAAAAAGAGCAACCAATGTGCAGTCCACGTGTCAAATTTTAAGTGGATGTCCAGACGTATCTCTATGTTCGGTATCCGCACCTAATAATGTTTCCTTTGTTTGAGAGAAAAAAGTTCTTTTTTTTTTTGTTTTCAGTCTATATCTGGTCTGAAAATAATGAATATGTGTGGTTGGAGTAGAAGCTTCAAACTCCTATTTATGTGAGGAAAGGAAAGCACAGAAAAAGGAAGTGGAAAAGCGTAAGAATAGTACTCAGTGATTGTTAACTGCCCATATATTTATTTAATGATTTGACATATAGATGTTTAGGATGAGAGAAGAAGACTCGAGCCTAAGCAAATCCTACATGAAATCTTCATGGAAGTACTAATTCGTGAGCATATCAAATGAGCTTAGATAAGATCAAATTTTACTTAGAGTCGTTATCATGGTTGTCAAATGTATGAATTTTCATCAGTGGATAATTTTTTTGTCAAATCTATGGAAATAGATTTTTACAAAAATAAATTTCAGTTTGGCTATCTAGAAACAAGCTTATAATTTCATTCAATACTTCAAAAATTTTAGATAGTGCCTTTAACTACAAAGCTTTCTTCATTGTTTCTATTGTTGCGATATATTTAAGTTTCGTTGGGGACGGGTTTCTTAATATTTCTTAAAGCAATTTTTAGTACAAATTTTTGTGCTAGAAAGTTGCTTTAAGAAGCAATAAGAAAGTTGTCTCAAATGAAACCTTAATTTTAGCAGTAGATAAAGTCCCAAACGTCCACAAATAAGATTTCCAATTGATTTTACCTCCACACGACATAAAGATTTAACTTTTTATTGAACTTCTTCAATCCATATCTCTTGCATAATCTTAATCAACATAGCCAAGGAAACCGATAAAAAAAAAACCAAGGAGACCGATATTTATATTATTTGTACTAAAAATGTAAGAATATGACAAAACACTCCATGATTTTTTATACAGTTCCCCTTCCAATGATCAGTACCAAAGGGACTTGGCGCAAGCCTTAAACTCCATAGCTTCTAAAGTATATTAGTATCGGGTTCAAGATCAAGCGAATATGACATAAATGAATTCTCTAACTCTTGAAAAAAAAAAATAGTCTTCTCCCTCTATATATGGTAATGTCATTTTCACTCTCTCTCTAAATTATCTTCTAATGTCATTTATTCTCTATCAACTAAATAATTGAACTCAAATACTAAATCCATTGAAAGTTCCAATCACTTTCCACAACTTGTCTCAAACAAAGCAAACATGCAAAACCGTATTAATCAGAAAGACGTCTCATAAACTAAATAGAAACAACAAAACTTTTTAATGAAATCTCACTTTCTCATTTAAGAGAACTCATTCCAAGCCTTCACATATTTATCCTTACATACATCTAATGATTGCTAAGTATCATCAATAGCAAGAAGCATAATCAAAGCAATATTTCAATTAGAGGGGATGGTCATGCACCAATAATTGTCTCTCTTAGGTGGCTTCCAATGCTCTTTGAAATCAAAGGAGAACCAAATAATTTAAAGAAAGTCTACAAAGCGACCTACCCAGTTATGGTTGATGGGATAGAGAACCTCAGTTCTTTGTTATATATATATTTTTTTTTAAATAAGAATCTTCCAAATAACTAATTTGAAAGGAACTCTATAATAAGATAATTTTCATATATGAAAAAAAAAATTAAAAAAAAATGTGTCATAGCCTACATTGACTATGCCATAAGAAAATAATGCTATCACAATCATCAATTTATATAGTTATTTTGGTTGTGATTAAAGAAGTGATTAGCTAGCAGCTAAAGGAAAAGAAAGGTTCAAAGAGTGCCAAGTGTTAGTAGAAAGTTGATTTTTCAGGGAATCAATGTCTTACTTATGCATTGTTAGGTTAATAACAAAGTATTTATAATAAATGCGAGTTGAAAAGACTTTTTTTGTAATACGACGGGTCCATTTGGAACGGCTCCAGCGTTTTGAAAAAGTGATTGTGAAGTTATTGCGGAAAAAAAAAAAAAGAACTTATTTGAAAGCTGTTGTGGATATTATAATTCTTTTACCGCGCATCAACAATTCTAATTAAAAAAAGTAGTGAGAAAGTTTTGCCAAACAAACCTTATAATATAATATATTTTTTTGTAAAAAAAATAATAATTTAATTTAAATTATATCATATGATGATAATTTTAAAATTAAACTTAAGATTATTTATTTTTCAATTTTAATTAAATTTAAGTGTGAAGGTTCTATGAAGACTTAAAATACTAATGGTAATTAGTTTTTAATTCAAAATGAAAATTTAGATTATTATATGCATGAAAGATGCATGCATGTTTGAAAAGTCTTCAATTGATTAGGGTTTTCGTACAATAATTAATTGAAGAATCAATAATTAGGCCACTAACAAGATCATCTTTAGAGATACTAACATAATTAATATATTTGATGAATGGTTTAATTAATTTTAATTAAGAATATAAATGAGCATTTTGGTGAATGAAGATATTGATCTGCTGTAGTCTCTCCAATTCTCATCTCAGGAGTTTCAATTTCTGTGAACTTTAATTTTGTTCATGGTGTCGTTTTTAGGATGAATTATTTCGTGCGAACACCGGATGGTTCTTCTCGTCTGGTTTTTATCAGTGACAATAAAAACATATATAGTGAACTACGTTTTTGTTGTTCATGCTACGTTTTCATTATTCACAAAAACAAAATAGAACAGATTTTTCCAATCCGGTGTCCGGTCAGAATAATCTCTCCATTTTAAGATAATATATTTTTTAAAATTATTTTATAAGAGAATAATGTATGTGCACAAAATTTATTATCTTACAAAAATAAAATAAAGATAAGATGAGCAATAATGCTTTGCTATTATGATTTTTTTATGAAAATAAGATAAAATAGATTTTAACCTTTTTTTATATTAAATAAATATAATGCACATTTGGAGCTTATTAGGTCGGCGAGAATATATTATTGAAGCTATTTGAAGATTTAGACCGATTTTCAGTGGCCTTGATATAAAATTCAGAGTAAACATGAACTAACTTCTCCATAAAAAATTATAATATGATGAAATAAAGGATAAAAAGAAAAAGTTAAAAGTCATGTAATTAAGTATGTTTTATGAAATTATAACTCTTCCTTTAATTTATTATTTATTATGCCAAAAATTAAGTTAAGTGTTGGGAGATAGGATACTTAAATGGATGAGTGGTTGCACACTAGACTTAGGCTTTGTTTGGGACGCCTTTCTTACTGCTTCTTAAAGCAACTTTTTAGTACAAAAATTAAAATTTGTGCACTAAAAAGCGGCTATTATAAGCAATAGGAAAGCCGTCCCAAACAAAGTCTTAGGCTTCATTTGAGACGGCTTTCTTCCTGCTTCTTAAAACAACTTTCTAATACAATAACTAAAAATTAATTGAAGAATCAATAAAACAACTTTTTAAGAAGCAGTAAAAAAGCCATCCCAAATGAAGTCTTAGATACAAAATGAGACTGTTTTTTTTTTTTATTGATTCTTAAAGAAGCTTTCTTTTAAAAAAAATTAAAAATTTCGTACTAAAAAGCAGCTTTAAGAAGCAATAAGAAAGCAACCCCAAATGAGGCTTCGTTTGAAACACCTTTTCTAAACGTTTAAAGCAACTTTAAGCAGTTCCAAACGAAGACTTAGGTGTCTATGGTCACATAAAATGTCGGCCTTCCGATAAACCTATTAAAAGAGCAGATGTATTAGATACAATCTATATTAAAAAAAGCAAAAATAGACATAAAAAAACTTAATTAGAAGATATCAAAATTGAATTTTTTTTTTATTAAATTTAAATGAGAATTTCAATCTTAATCAGACATAATGAAGAAAAAAAATCATATAACCAACCCCGCATTCTTGAATAGAGGCTTTTAGTTGTTGGTGTTGCATATAATTTATTATGTTTTATTATTCATGCAAATCCTATGAATAGATATAGAATGCTATGTTATAAGGCACTATATTTTGAAATAAATACATTTAAGATTACTTTCTTTTCTTTCCAAATTCTGTAGACATCAAATACTACTTACTATTATCTGTTTGTACACTTCAACGTTACTAAGCCCACTCCGCAAATGTGAACGATTAGGCTTTTTCATGAAAGCCCATCGAAATGCCTCTGATTTGAGCAAGCTTCTCTTTCATTTGAGAATTGAGACAGCTCAAGATTCAACGGTTCATTGTTTAGGTGCTTCGCTGAATCTGTCTACCCAACAGTTTAAGATCTGCTTCCTTGAGTTCCATGTACTTGCCTAGTCTGAAACGGTCAATAACAGCCAAAATGCCACTTAGAAATAGCAAAGAATAAAATAAGTGTTTTGTATTCAAACAAAGCTTCAAGAACGAAAAAAAAAAAAAGGAAAGTAGTCAAGCGCATCACTAATTAGCTCCTCAAATAGAAGTTTCAGCCTCCTCAGAAGGTCACTTGGTCAGTTATAATTAGGGGTGCAAACGAGTCGAGTCAAATTCAAGCCAGGTGATGTTCGAGTCGAGTTTGATTGTCAAATTCTGAGCTCGACTCATCTCATGTCGAGCAGCTCGCCGAGCTCCATCCCGAACAAGCTAGCAGCACACGAGCTCCGTCGTCCCAAGGTCAACCGCTCGACTCGTCAGCTCCGTCATCATGCTCCTTCGTCCAGAGGTCAGGCGTCGTCATTTCATTTTCCCTTGTCGATGTTTCATTTTCTCGCCCAGTCGTCCCGCAATTTTCTTTTCCCGCCGGAATGTCATCTTCACGAGCTGCTTGACGAGCTGACGAGTTGAGAAGAGGACTATCGAGCACGAGCTCGATAAGCCATCGAGCTCGAAATCGTGTTAGAGCTCAACCCGCGAGCTCGATCCTGTTAACGAGTTGAATCCGAGCAGGCTTGACTCGGTTGCACCCAAAGTTCCAATTAACAGACTACACAAACTTATGTGGTAAAATAAAAGACAATGTTATGTCTACTCAGAAAACAGGTTCATAGTGAACTTTGACGCGGATTAAATTTGGTTTTGAGGAGTTCAAAAGGACCAGAAATAAAATATATATTACTAACTAATTGTCTTTTATTGTACCACATAATAAAAAAAACTAAATTTTTTCTACAACTAATTTATGGACAACCACAGCCATCCCAAATAAACTAAAGTGAAAGAGGAAATCTAGCAAATCACATGCAAATTTATTAAGACAAAAGTGCATGCATATTTTGAAGTAATAAGCAGGGCAAGTTAGAAAATATGATAAGCCTCGCCATAATGACAGTGTAATGAAGATTCTTAGAGATTAAATAGAAGAGGAATTTGCAGATTACTGTAATAAAAGTATCCTATAAAAAGCAAACTGAATTACCCTAGGTCTGATGGAAGCCGGAATCCACCAATCCTCACTCGTTTTAGTGAATGAATCTATCAGAATATAATAACAAAAAAATTAGTATAACAAGTTACTGAAGGTAGCAGTAATTGAATATTTTTGTATAGTACTTGTGTCCATGCATGAATGAACAATTTTGAAAAGTGAGCTTTTGAAGAGGAGAAATTCTACAAAAGGAGCTATTATTCTGTGCGGACACCGGACGGTAGAGTCGTCCGGTTCCGCGCTTGGTACATTTTTGAGGTGCCGTGGCACATTTTTATTGGTCTCCAGACGCTCCGGACTCCGTAGAGAATAAAAATTCCTACAAAAGGGGGTTAACCTTCAAGCTTCAGTGACACCATAATTGGATAGAAGGGCAGGATTCACTTTACTCCTAAGGAAAACTTATTCTTCCTTGGCCTTAATTCAGACAAACCGAAGTTTTGCTTGCAGATAAGCGGACATCGAAGATGGCAAGAGATGAAGTGGAAAGACATAAGTGGGATGTAGGAAGCAAATGCAATTAGCAGTGTTATAGTAGGGCTTTGAGATTTGTTAGATGGCAAAATTGGTTCCCTAAGATCTTGCAGCTTCAGGCAAGGAGAGAAAAAGGAGAAGTTCCGCCAGTATTAATGAGGAGCAGAACCCCGGTAATCCACCTCAATCTGGAGTCGAGCTCAGAGGACGAACTGAATACTGTTCGTGAACCCGCTAATCCAACCAGCAAGAAGGCCAAGTTCGAGATTCCACTTGAAGCAGACAGTGATGAAGACATGGCCCAAGACAAGAAGGAAGGTCAAGATAAGTCTGAGTCTTCAATGTATGAGAGGATAAACCAGTACGTGCGCACTTTAGCCTTACCCCACTAACCTCTGGTACGGTGGGCGAGTTACAGGTCAAAGTTGCACCTCAACTGGAGGGCTCAAATAAGCTTCCAAAGAGTGATTGGCATTTACCATAACAAAATGCCTACTTTAAAAAATGACTTGCTCGGAATGCTATGCGATGAGCAAGCACTCTTCTTATTATTTGGTGGGGATGCTACTACATGCAAAACCAAGCTAAAACGACATATTCTAAGTACTTTCTAAAAAACAAGAGGTTCATTTAACTTTAACCTGAAGTCCAGCATTTTTTATCAATTCACGCACTTCATGATTCCTGCCTTCATGAACCTGCCAAAACAACAATTCACTGTAGCGACCACTAAAAATATTTCAATAGTAATAGTCCTAGAGGAAACATTTTCAAAAACACACAAAAAGGTTGTTGATCAATTTGGATGTATCATGATATCCACATAAATTCGAAATGCAGGAGGATAGAAGATGTCTTGAAAGCTAATTAAACAACCAACAAAAAACAGGAACAAGCAATAAATTTAAATAATCAGATTTTTCACTTTTCATAATTTTGCATATTTCACGAGGTTGTTAATGGAAATTTGAAGTTTTATACTCGGAAATTCTGTATGTGAGCAGTAATATGAGCTCGTGGTAGTGGTTTGTGTTGCTTTAAATTTATTTTTTTTAGGTTTTTTTATTTCTTTTCATTCATAGTAAACATGCCTATGATGATTGTGTTTATGATAATGACGTATTTTCTAATATTTAGATTATCTTGATGGGTCAGATTTACTGCTTCCTTCATCAGATTCCCGGTACGCAGCTGATTTTGAATCCTCTGTTCTTAGCACCTAGGTTTCCTCTGTTTGCCCACAATGTAGGTGGTGATGTAGATTGAACGCTTGCCATCTGCCGCCTTCGAATGCTGTTACTGTTAATTTGCAGCTGATTTAGGGAGTATTGTGTGCTTCACAAGATTTTAAATCCACCGCATGTTACCTAAAATAGATTCTTCCTTACTTTCTGCAGTCCAACTTCTATTCAGCTTTCCTGATGTAACAGTGATAAGATCATGCATGAAACCCTTTACATAAAAAAAGCTAAACTCTTAAACATTGGTGTCTTTTGGTGTAATTGTTGAAATTTTATTTAAGAAACTCCGCAGTTAACCGTGCTCATCCCAGATCAATTATGGGATGGGTGAACTATTAAGAAGTTACACTAACAAGACAAAACTGTGAAGATCTTAGGCCAGAACGGACAATATCTCGATAGGTAAAAGTTTGGGTTGTTACAAATGATATCAAAGCAATACACCAACCGGGAGATAGGAACTAAGTGTCATACAAGACAAAGTGATACACCAACCTCTTGAACCTTGTATGGGACAAAGTGCTACATTACGGGAGTGTGGGCTCCAAAAATTCGGCCCCAGCCTCCGCCCGACTGTGCTTTTCTTCGGCGAGGAGTTTTAATGGATTAAGTTCCAGGGTAAATTTTGGAAGGCGGATAGGTTTGTAGATAAGACATTACCTAGAGATTTCGCCCTCATTTTGTAAGGACTTTATGATCTGAGTTCTGGTTTCCTATAGGCGCAAGCCACTATAGTTAATTATCCATCCCGATAACGAGAGAGAACTTTCAATTAAGGTTAGTCGTCAATCAGATACATATAAACACTGAGTACCCAGCATATAATAACAATTTTAGAGAATTTAAAATTGGATTTTTGAGAATTTTTAAGATTTGAAATTTATCACCGTACACTTAAAGTGGGTGATGAGGGACTGATGAGTGGCCCGATCAAGATCCCATGATTCTGTCATCCCAGGTTGTCATGATTTTTGATCTACTTAGTCAGAGGAGGTAGTCAACCCAACTTGACATATAATTATGGATATAATTTTGGTTATCTATTTCCTTGTTCTATTCTCATTAATGCATATTTGTAGGCCCTTTTATACGTCAATAACACAACTTTTATTTTCTCTCTTTATATCTCTCAACATGATATCAAAGCAAAATTGAAAGCCATTGATCCCCTTCCATATCATATCCACAGCCCTATTACCTCGCTTGGGCACCATCCCATCCAACAGCCCTATTTGCGCTCAATCTCATACACTCAAAGAGCTCATCCTTCTATACACCAACTCCCTCACCTAGCTATTGCATCATGCTTCAGTGCTAGAACCTCCCCTTATCCCAAAAAATCCACTCACACGCAATCATCGCCACACTAACTTGCTTCACAACTTGAATCACACTCATCCCATCAACATTAATCACCTCACCCTCAGTATTAGGGCTATCAAAAAAGCTCACCACAACTTTATTTATATTACTAGAGTCCAAAAGGCAAGGAGCAAAAATTGGTGGCTTATCGAGGACACCAATAAGAGCATTTGAAATAGCAAGCATGATTCTAGGCACCATGGGGCCATATTTTTTAATAAAAAGTCTATTTTCACATAGCAATGGATGCCATAGCATCATTTTGGATGCTACGGACAGAGTAATGGCACCGACTCTAGCAGTGCAGCACCAGATTTGGAACTGCTACAAAAAATTTTGCAAATTAGCCCAAAAATATCTAAGAATTGATGAGGTTTAAAATAAAAACCTTATGTAAATCAATAAGGGTGAATTTTTAAGGTTTTGAGGATTTTTGGAGGACTCATTGCTGGAATTTGGAAAAAGAACAAAAAAAGGCGTAAACACAAAAAAAATAAATAAGCAAAAAAACTTTTATAAAATTTTCTACTTTTTTTTTCTTCATGTCTGATACTTTTGCAATGAGATTTCCTTTTTTTTTTTAATATGTTATAAACTCTATTTAGAGGGATTAGATAAAATTGTATATTAGATATTGGTCTTATTTTTAATTTGATCTATTATTATCTTTTATTTAAATTTAATGTCAGATATTCCAATCCGTTTTTATTGTTCATATATTTGCTAGATTAGGATGTTTGTTTGAAATCAAGGGTAAAAATTGAGTTCTTCATGGTTGACATACCATAATTAATCATAAAATAAAGATACCTACACTATACCAACAACAACAATAACATCAAGCAATTCAAGCCATTATCCCACTATGTGGGGTCGACTACATGGATTCTTTTTCTCTATTATGTCCTACAAAGAGTCAAACTCTTCTTTAAATCTAATAAGAAAATTTCATTTATAATACTTTCTAACCAAACCTTTTTAGGCCTACCTCTACCTTTCATAACATAGATCATATCTATTATATCTACTCTCATAACCAGGACCAAGGGCAGATCCAGCTTCTTTTTTCAGGGTGGACAAAAAAAAAATTTGATGGGGGGTGGGAAAAGACGCTTAGGATTGATAAAATTAGGGCAAAAAATTTTTTTGAGAGGGGGCAAAATACCCAAAAATATCCAAAATATTTCAAAATATCCTCTCTAAAATTAAAAAAAAATTTTGAGGGGGGGCAAATGCCCCCCCTCACTACTATGGGGATCCGCCCATGACCAGAACATCGAAAGGCCGACATTTTATGTGACCAAACCATCTAAGGCAACTCAATTTAATCTTATTTGCCAATTGAGCTACTCCAAGCTTTTCGCATATATACTCCTTTCACATTCTATAACTAAGTGTAGTAAAGCCACTCATCCACCTTTGCATCATCATCTCTACAACAATTAACTTAATTTTTTGTGTTTCTTTTAATGGAAAATATTCTACGTCATAAAGCATTGCACGTCTCACCACCATCTCATATAATTTTATCTTAAATTTGAGAGGTACTTTTCTATCACACAAGAGGCCCGATGCATTCCTCCACTTCAACCATCCAACTTGAATTCTACTAATAATATCTTTATCTATTTCAACATCATCATTTTGAACAATAGACTCGATATATCTAAAATTAGTACTCTTTTTAATGACTTGATCGCCCAAAATCACAATCCCCCCACTAGAACTAATACTACTAAAATTACATAAAATAAAGATAGTTGCACTGTAGTTGTATAATTCTTGAGATCCCAATTTGTATTTAAATTTATAGCATTAAATTTACTTTGGAGATGAAGATAGGTTGTGTTTAGTAAATTAATTTCTCTAGATTTTCAAGAGGATAGTAGAATGCAAAAAAATCTATTTTCAATTAATCAAATTTAACCGGTGAACCAATTACATACATCTTGGTGAAATCTAACCCCTAGATCTACTCTTCATTGCAAAACCCTCATTTTCAACTTTCAAGAACTTGCTATTAGGAACTCTTAACTAGAGAAATTTAGTTTTCTTGTTTTTATTAACATATCAATTTTTAATCCTCAAATAAACTTTTGATTAATTTAATTTCGGGTGAGTGAAAATCAATATTGTAGGATGATATTTGTTTCTCATCACTCTTTTACAAGTTCAATCACACTCTTACATGTGCTGATTTTCATGGTCAACACATTAAACACAATTTCTGCATATGTTTGTATCAAATTGGATGACCACAAACCACAAGCCCAAGTTAGTACCCCAAGTTTGAAGTTCAAAGCGCATCAAGAACAGAAATGGTAAATTACAAATTGACCTTCAAAAAGGTCATGTATTCATGATCTAATCTTAAAACATAGTAGCCCTTGAGATGTTTCCCTATGCTGAATTACCAAGTTGCATTTAACCAATGCTTAAAAGCATGAGAACTAGTAATGCTTCCTCAATCAAAAACACAAGAAATACCTTTCATCAGTTTTTATATCCTTATACAATACCATGCTAACCATCACAACTCTAGTGGCCAAAATAACACCACAAAAGCACTTTAACAATCAACCAATGGAAATACGAGAAAAAAAACTATTCAAGTTAGATTCAATAGAGATAAACTAACAATACCACTATGCGAAGTCTAGGTCTTGGGGCATCTGGCTGTGCAGGTAGAAGTTCCACATAATCAGGCACACAATGCACGCCTTCAACTTCTGTGCCTTCACTTATAGCAATCAGGTGTCTTCGATGAATAGCACCTTCTATAGTTGCGATATATCTACAATTTAAATTGAAAAAGAATATGAATACAAAAGAGAAAGCTTTCAAGTATCTAAGATAGCTTTCTAGAAATTTACTTATTTATCTAAGATAGAATTTAATCAAATATCTAGAAAATTGAATTTCAAGCCAAGTCAGCCCAATTCAAGTCAATTCAACTCGATCTACTTGACAAACTCAAAAGGAACTTGTCAAGTCTACAAATGAACACACCTAAAGCATGCGACTACAACATGCGAGCTCGCCCCATGTAGGTGAGTATAACCTATCAAGTCGGTCATAGCAAGACTATTCAAGTGGGCGACTCTCATCATATAAAAAAGTATTGATTGGATATTCGACTACTCATCTACAAATACATGTCAAACCAAAAACTTATTAACAGCTCGACGGACGACTTCTACAAGTCATACTTTCAATCGTGCTACACGATTATTATATTTTTCTCTTATTTTTTGCATGGTCATGTGGGTACTCAATTTTATAACGTTCAAGCTTCAGCCCAAATCTATAAATAGGTTGTTGAAGGTTGACCACAATTTGCGCAATGTTTAGCACTTAAGCTCATTTTAAAAATCTCAGAGCTTTTTAATCTATAATTATTCTCTATGTATTTATCTGCTCTCTTTTTACTCAACATTCTCAATACAATTGGGTGTGATTCACGAATAATTTTGAATTTAACATCCTAAAAGGTGTGGTGAGTGTACAGCATGCCATTAACTAGAAGAGTACTTAGCAAAGTGAAGGAAAATCACAATGAATTCATCACTGTCAGCCAACTTCTTAAATTTGAAAAAAGGGTGATGAGAATGATCCAGAGAGGATTTCCATAACCATTTCAAGAGTAGAGCTCCCAGCAAGATCCTATGATTATGTTGTGAGGAGAAGGAGACTCTCCGAAGTTAAAGCTTTAACCTCTACTCCAATTATTGATGAAACCTACTAGAGACAATGAGAAGTCGACGTCAACTATTTGTCGAGAAGAAAAGCAGACATTCAAGAGGAATTTTCCATTGGTGAATGCATTCCAAAGGGAGATTACTGGGGCCAAGCCTCCAGCAAAACACAAGATTCCTCACTTGGATTCATACAAGGGGAAAACCGATCTAGTTGACAATGTCACTTGTTTAGAGTCAATTGTCTCATTGCTAGACATTAATAATGCATTAAAGTGTAAATTGTTCTTCACTGCCTTCAAGAAATCACCTCTGTGGTGGTTCTCACATCTCCCATTTGGTGTAATTAAATCCTTCATTGAGTTTAAGAGAATGTTTGTCACTCGGTTTGCCATAGTGTAAAGGACATTAAAAAATTCTCAGGAGCTTTGGCAAATGAGATAGGAACCATGTGAGTCGTTGAAGAGCTTCATAACCTAGTTCCAAAAAGAAATGATGGATGTGAAGGACTTAGAGAGTGGGTTGTGGCTCGAGTCGCTCAAAATCAAGGTTTATGTGAGGGACCTTTCAGGTATGCACCCGACTTATGGCAATGTGGGCATTAGACGAGTTGCTAGAGGTCACCAATAGTCATATCAATGCCGAGGAATATAATACTGAGAGTAGCACCGTTGTGACGGCTAGGAGGAAGGAGAAGGGTTATCAGGAAGGGAAATTTTGGTAATTTTCTAAAGACTAAAAAAGTCGCCCGAGGAATTATGGACAACATTATTATGATGTAATGACCTTTAGTTTGAAAAATGTAGGTGTATTATAAAAGAATGATGGCTATATTTATTTTAGAATAAAAAAGGTGCAATGTAGAAGATTTTCAATATCTCTTAATCAAAAGAAAAACTCCTGAATAGCACATTTCATCTGAAAAATAAAAACTTTTTTAACTATAAAAAATATAAAATAATGCTAAATCCTCTAAAATATATCTTGGGAGCCAATTCTGATAAATTCTTGGACTTCTTGTTAACTCCAGAATGTGGTATAAAGAGGAATCCAAAAAAGGTGAACACGATTCTTGAAATGCCGTCTCCTCAAAATACAAAGGAGTTGGAAAGGTTGACAAAGTGACAAGTGCTTGTCATTCTTCATGGTTCTAAGAAGTGGCAAGCACTTCTCATGAAATAAAGAATGTGAACTCACCTTCCAGCATATGAAGCCACTCCTATCTTTACCACCTCTACTTCAAAGTCCACAAACCAGGTAGGATTTGTTCTTATATCTTAGAGTCAGTTATGAGGCAATGAGATCGATCCTCATCCGCGAAGAAGGGGTGAAGAAATAGTGAATTTATTATATCAGCAAAATTTTGAGAGGGGCCGAGTTGCGCCATTTGATTATGGAGAAGCTTGCACAAGCATTGATCATAGTTGCACAACGAGTTCGTCCTTATTTTCAAGAGCATTCTATTCATGTTGTTATTGATCATACCAGTATAACTCAACAAGTTTCAAATCTCATATACACCAAGGACCACTATCAAAGTGCAAGTGCTAGTAGATGTCTTGGCCAACTTCAGTTTACTCAATACTAAAGAGGAGGCAACTATAAAAAAATACCTAATGTAGACCCTCTATGTTGATGGTGCTTCTGATGCAGGAGTCAGCAGGGATTATTCATAAGATAATAAACCCCAAATCTACGCTTTTCAATTAGAAAATCCTTCCTAATTAATCCCTTCCTGAATTCCTCTTCTCATGTATGTAATGATAGGTTTAATGGGCCCCACATGGGGGGCCGAAATTCCTTCCCCTTTTTGACCTGCCTTCTCCCATATCACATACATAAAGAACTTAAGAATTGGCTCAAGACAGTGTAGCGTCAATGCATAAGTCAGTCTGTATTTTACAAAGTTTGTATTTTTCATTTTTTGAGTTAATTTATGTACTAGGTATATTTTGGCTTAGCAACCATGTACACACACAAGGTGGAATAAAATTGAATTTTTGAATTTTTTTCTTATAATCGTACTATATGGTCCAATATCATACTTTATGATCAGGTCAAACAAAAATTAATTCAAATGTTTAATTAAAATTAATTTATAACTAATCGTAATGTACGATCACCACCACCTACAGGACGATCAGCTATTGTAAGAAATAATATCGTCGAATCGTGGTTTCTTAAATTTTTCAAATTTGAATTTTGAAATTTGTACTAATTGTATTGTACAAATGTGTTCATACTATATGATAATTAATTAAAATTTTCTAATTTAATCCTGAGGATTAATGAATCAAATCAAATATAATCTTTATTAATGATCATATTGTACAATCATCGGTCTTACTAGACAATCACCAGAGAGCTCTTTTGAATATGTTATTCAATTCAACTAATCATATTGTATGATATGTATATTGTATTGTACAATCAAAAGGCTTAAAATTAACAATTAGAATTTTTTTAGAGCCTACTTTTAAACTCTTGAAATAACATGTAGGCAAAAGTTTTTAAGATTCAGAGACGTCTTTTTTTTTGTAAGTGAGCTTGGAGAGAGTCCACAACACAAAAGAGAGAGAGGGGGTAAGGTTGAGATAGTGAGAGCACCTTGAGAGAGTTGAGGGGTGGGGTCCTCCAATTGTGTTTTTTGTGAAGCTCTTGGGGGAGAGCTCTGGGAATGAGAGTCTTTGGAGTGAAAGACTCTCACTAGCCGAGTACGTCTCCATCGAGCCAGGAAGCTAAAGCAGAGATCGACAACTTCATCGGAGAGATGGCATCTCAGCCAGGCTTGGAGGCAAAAAAGAGGGATCGGCATCTCCACCGGGCCAAGGTGAAAGCAGGTACGGCATCTCCGCCTGATTGAGGAATGAGGAGGCGAGAGGAGAGAGATTATTCGTAGATTGAAGAGTCTGTAAGGGTCATTTTTCGACTAATCAAGACAGAAAGTCTTCTCCATCTAGATGTGTGCTAAGGGAGAGCCACGTTTAGTGCAATGCCCAAATAGGAGGATCTTTGGGGAGTGGATATAGGTCAATTCGACCGAACTACTATATATTTGGTTTACGTATTCTTATTTTTTTGCAGTTTACTTTTCTTGCAATTTATATTACTGCACTCTATTTTGGTTTTTTATTATCTTTGTAAAATAATTTGGGTGAATCTCTAGTTGAAATTTTCAATTTAAAATTTTTGTTTTATGAAAAAGTTTATAAAAACAAAAAAAAATTGCATTTGGTTTTCATTTTAGTTTGAATAATATTATATTTTAATCTTATTTTTATTTTAAAAGCATAAGATTTTTAGAAAAATACCAAAAAAGATTTTAAAATACTAATTCAGACCAATCTTGGTGTGCCATAAACACTTTCAATTGGTATCAGAGAGGGTTTCTTACTTTAAATTTAAATATCTTGAGTTGATCCACATCGCAAAATAGTTGATTCACATCGCACATTTTGATAATCATAACACTGTGGAAGCGTATTATATTACCCAACCCATTTTGTTTGATCACATTCCATTTGATTTTTAAAAGATTTGTATGTCCAGGTTTTTACAATCGATTGATTTCTATACGTGGCATATAATTCAATCTGGCTATGATTTACCATTTCGTATTATGAATGGAGTTAAAATAGAGATTTTTTTACTAAATGGTCCTTAGCGAATCGTGATCTTGAGCAACTGAATGCCAGATATTTGAACTGTTTTTTATGTGCCTTAAAATCTAAATATTGCATGCCTATTTCTACGTGCACTTGTGAAAAGGAAATATAGAATAGAGTCTATATTACTTATAAAGGCACAAGTAAAGTTAAACAACCTCGCATGAATCTACTTTTACATGAATACAAACTCTTTTGCATGCAACCAAGTGAATTAATTTTCAATATTTATACTAGGTTTACAAAAATCATCACATCATTGTATGTTTTAGGTATAGATATTTCAAATTCTGCGAAAGTTAACAAAATTTATGCTTTTTGCTTAAATCTTGGGCTGCAAAAGTTATTGTCGTTTATGAATCTAAAGACTTAAATGCATACTCTATTAATAATCTACATGTCTCTCTAATTGGCTACAAACAAAAGGTGAGTCAAAGACATGCAGGTTCAGGTGAACGAAAAAAGAAAAAGAATAGGGAAATTTACATACATACCACTTTATACCATCCTATTTACATATCTAACACCCAAAACTTTAATATTACATATATACCACTCTATATTATTTTAATATCAAATATGCCCCTCATATTTCCTTCCTAGTACTCATATATTTCATTTCTACCACTCATATTTGATATGAAAATGAACTAAGGGTGGTATGTATGTAATATTAAAGTTTTAGGTGTTAAATATGTAAATAGAGTATTATAGGGTGGTATGTATGTAAATCTCCCAAAAGAATAACAATGTTAAAGGCTGACGATACAGAAAGCAATGATTCAGGAACATATGAAAATGATGATATTACATTAATGGCCTAACAGATTGAAAAGTTTCCTGAAATGCATGGAAAAGTGCCACTTTGATAAGCATATATGTAAATTTGCAAAATCAAATAAGTTTTCTACTAATGTGATTTGTTATGTGTAAAAAAAGCCAATACATGTTCGATCCGATTGCCTAAACATTAAGAGCCACCCATCTAAGGGTAACGGTGAGGAAAAATGCAATGCATAGAAGGGCAAATAGAAGTTTCAAAAGGTTTTTTTGAGCAAACTCAAATTTAGAATCATCAAAAACTAAGCTAGAAGAGGAGGTAATCAACTGTGCTTAATGGCTAAAATAGCATTGGTGACTCCAACAATGATCAGGTATGCGACTTATCTTATGATGAATTATTCTCGTTATCACATGATTCGTATAAAAAATTAAGAAGTACCACTCACATCTTAAAACAGAATATTCCACCTTGAAAGATGAGCATACAAATTTAATTAATAATTATTCAAACTTAAGGAATGATCATATTGCATTGGATAAAAACTATGAATCATTAAGTAGGAGAGCCCTAACCTGAGAGTGAGCTCAGTTTATGCAACTGTTTTATATTTAGGCTTATTTTACAAAAATCTTAGAGCATCTCTCTCTAGAATTATTCTCACTCTATTTCACTAGACTTTTTTCACTTAATATTCTCAATATAGTTGGGTGTGATTTAAGGAAAATTTTGAATTCAATAGAAAGCTATGATGCACCGACACTTTTCCTTTGTTTTTTCTGAAATAAAAGAATATTAGTACCATCATTGGTAACGATAATCAAGCCAGTAGTTGCAACATCCAGCCGTCCAGCAGTAAACAATCGGGGCCTTGGTAAGCCAGGATTTGTTTTATTCTGTTGTAACAGAGAAAAGCTTCACCAAATAAGTTTCAAGGGAATTTTTTTCTGAAATAAAAGAATATTAGTACCATCATTGGTAACGATAATCAAGCCAGTAGTTGCAACATCCAGCCGTCCAGCAGTAAACAATCGGGGCCTTGGTAAGCCAGGATTTGTTTTATTCTGTTGTAACAGAGAAAAGCTTCACCAAATAAGTTTCAAGGGAATAAAAAGTGCATCATGTGATAAACAGTCTCCAAGTTCCAGAAGTTTTGCAGTTTTTGAAATGTGTTAAACACAGTGCACGTACCCAACTCTTCCAGTAATCATCAAATAAGGAAACTACGGATTTCGGTTCTTTACCATTCGAGCAAATGTACCTGTTTATGCAATCCAATATTACGCAATTCTCTTTACAAAATCTATGCAGGTTGACGGAACTCTGAACCATCAAAGAAGATGACAAACTTATGTAGAACGGAAGAAAAAACTGACCCTTTTGGCTTGTTAAGAGCAAAATGCAACTTTGGAGGCAGCCTTTTAGAAAGACGGTTCCCATTAACATAGATTGAATCCTTTGAAAGGTCAACCCGTGTCTACATTTAACCAAAGACAAAAATATAGATAATTTATTTATTAATCAATAAAATTAGTATATCTCAGCAAGCTTTACAGTTCTTTATTTCTGCAGTATAATTTCTTGATAAGGGATTTTTTAAGAAAAAATGTTCTATTTATTCGATTAATTCCATAGTAACATGCTTCTAAATATACACCGTCAAGAACAAAATAACAGCTCCCAGATCCATCCAGGTAAACTACATGAAGAAAAACTAAGTGCGCATTTATCTGATTGAATGTTTGTAAGGCTAAAATAGAATCAAAGGACCATTTATGTAGATAAAATATGATTCACTAAATAAGAGATGGATTAAAATCCCCACAAGCACTCTACGCTATAAATCTTAGCCAAAGTTGAATAAATGAGAACAAACATACCTGTGGAGAAGTGCACACAGATCCATTAACTGTCACTTTCCCTCCAAATATCAACTCCTCACTACTCCTCCTGGACGCCACTGAAACATATAGACGGACAATGTAAAATTCCCTAATCATTACAACCAAATACACAATAAGTACCTCCGGCAGCGGCAAGAACTTTGCTGAGCCTTTTAGATTCTTTAATATTCTGATTATAAAACCTCCTTGCCGCCTTGGACTGCTTTGGCGCCGAGGCAAGCTCCTTCTTCTTCTTTTTCTTGATTGGAGATAGCTTGGGCTCGGACATTGCTTGAAGGAATCCGGCGGGAGGAGTGGCCTGAAGCTTTAGATTGCCATTCTCGTCGCGGACGATCCACGGTATGACGAGGGGTAGGGGAGGGGCCGAAGGGTTGTGAGGGGACGGATCCGGAACTAGGGATTTGGTGGAGGAGGGAGCGAAGGAGATTTTGAATTCTGTGGAGGAAGAGGAGGAGGAGGATGCTGAGATGCGGAGTAAAGAGAGGCGGCGGAGAGGGAAGAGAAGGAAGGCGGGTTTGGAGAGAAGAGATGAGGGGCAGAGGGTGAGAAACCCAGAAGAGGCCATGGGAGCAATCGGCGAAGCGGAGCGCACCGGCGGCGGGGTTTAAGCGCAGGAGGCAATGAGTGGCGGCCGATGAAATAACCTTTGGGGAAGGATTATTTTTTTCTTAATTTAGATTATGAAAGTGTAAATTTAATAAACAAATATGAAATATCCAATCTTTGGAATTTGATAGCATTTTTTTTTTTTTATCAACTAAATTAGCTAACACCTCCTAATATATTTTACTAAATTCAAGCTAAGAAATTTTATCAAAGTTCTTCATACATATCTATATTTCATATAATTTATAAAATAATAGAATTTTACTTCAAAATAATAATCATTTTAAGTGTTGTACTATGAGTCTATGATATTAAAAAATTATTTTGCATTTTAAATATCTCAAGCCTAATTTAGGTGGTTGATTGGCCAACTTATCAATTTCACGTGGGCGAATGACTGATAGGTTGACATGTTGATTTCAACTTATCGATTTCATCTTTAATGTGGCTAACTACAAGCATTGAAGGATTGACTCGCTAAATTCCTACTTGATGACTTGCCAACTTTAGGCGGTCGAATGGCTGATTAGCCAACTTTGGCGACTTTAGATGGCAAAATGACTTACTAGCCGATACGTCAACATTAGGTGGTTGAATGACCAACTAGACATGACAACTTCAGGTGACTGACTTTAACTAGTTTGTCGACAATCTCATTCATTGAATCTCACTCATCCCATCAAAATCTAAGCTCAATGAGATACAATACACATATATCAATCTCATAAATTTATTTAGCCACACACCCTAAATCACATGATATATTTTTAAATACATATTATTTTGCTATAGTTCTTGCTTTTCAAAAATTTTAGAACAAAATTGCATTATGCATATTCAACCAACAATTTTAGTCCATTGAAAGTAGCATTTGGCTAAGCTCCCATAAGTTAGAGGGCCCTCCCTCAAATTTTATGCTTTGATTGAAGAGTGGAGTCTCTATTTACTGTTGATATTCAAAGCAATAAACTAATAATATAGGAAAATAAGACATTGAAAGCTATTGACAAATAAAATATAAATAATTAATTATTAAAAATAAAAAATACTTATATTCTAATTAGTTTCAAACTAGTAAAACTTTTAAGTACTCTTGAAATTCATAACTTAAGTGTTGTACTATGATATTAAAAAATTATTTTGCATTTTAAATAAAGATCTTTTATTTTAATAAATTATTATATGCTTTAAATATACATATTTTAAAAATTGTATGATAACTCATAAAATATATGACATATTTCATAACTTTGAAGTCAGATCATTTCACAAATAAATATTTTTTATATCCAAATATCTCAAGCCTAATTTAGGTGGTTGATTGGCCAACTTATCAATTTCAGGTGGGTGAATGACTGATAGGTGGACTTGTTGATTTCAACTTATCGATTTCACCTTTAATGTAGCTAACTACAAGCAATTGAAGGATTGACCCGCTAAATTCCTACAGTATGACTTGCCACCTTTAGGCAGTTGAATGGCTGATTAACCAACTTTGGCGACTAAAAAAAAATCAACTTTGGTAACTTTAGATGGCAAAATGACTTACTAGCCGATATGCCAACATTAGGTGGTTGAATGACCAACTAGACATGACAACTTCAGGTGACTGACATTAACTAGTTTGTCGACAATCTCATTCACTGAATCTCACTCATCCCATCAAAATCTAAGCTCAATGAGATACCATGCACGTATATCGATCTCATAAATTTAATTAGCCACACACTCTAAATCACATGATATATTTTTAGTTCTTTATAGGCTAGGCTAGCCCTATATTGAGTTTCTATTGAAGCCATAATTAATGCTTCTCCAAATTTTTAGAACAAAATTGCATTATGAACAAAATTGGAGTCTCTATTTACTCTTCATATTCAGAGCAATAAACTAATAATATAGAAAAATCAGTTAGTGAAAACTATTGACAAATAAAATATAAATTAATTAATTACTAAAAACAAAAAATACTGATATTTTAATTAGTTTCAAACTAGTAAAACTTTAAGTACTCTTGCAATTCATAACATGCAACATTCTTCTTAGCAACATCAAAGAGGCCCACTCTTATAAGATCATAATAGTAATGCTATATAGCTCAAAATATAGCCTTTCAAGTAGACTTGTTAATAACGATCTAATTTCAAGCCAATTTGATCTCAACTTGAGATCAACTAAAAGTCATTCGATCCTAACTCGGTCGAACCAAATCTAATTATAAGTTTGCCTGATATGCTATTGATTGGAGCTAAATATGTACGTTTGATTCTTATAAAAACCCGATTTTGATCTTGATTCATTTTCAATCTCGTAAGAAAAAATTTATAGCCTAACACATATACACTCACTCGAAAAGTTCATCGATCGCACAAATTCTGACGAAAATATTTGAATAAAAATGTTTGAATTTGACTTTACCGAGTACCCTAAACCCTAATCCTGAAAATTTAGAATTTATTTCGAATTCTAAAAACGAGATAGCTTATCTTTTACCTTCAAAAAAAAAGATGAAACAAAGACCTATAGTGCTCATGCAATGGGATCTTCATTGTGATCATAATCCATCATGCATCACCCCTGCGCTCATTGTGAGCAGCAGGGCAGGGCAGATGAGCTGAAACAATGTTATCAGCTATTGAAGAATTTTTACAAGGACAAATGTTACATTTACATGATAAATGGATATATGCTACAAGCTCAAGAGCAGCAGCAAATCTGTACAGTAAGGACAAATTGCTTCCATCAGTTTCTCTACAAGAAATCCCATTGCCAATAGACTTTCTCCACTATGCCTCCGCCGCTCCGGACGGCAAATCGCAGGGTCTCGGAAGCTGGAGGAACTCCCCATAGCAATGGCACTGCAACAGTCATGGTCAGTTTCTCTTGTAAACCTTCATTGCTTGCCTTCTCTGCTGTAAAAACCTGAAAAAGATGGCAAAATGTTGGTGCAGGGACTTGTTGAGGCTTCGTTTGGGACGGCTTTCTTATTACTTCTTAAAACAGTTTTTTAATAAAAAAAAATTAAAATTTTTGTATTAAAAATCTGTTTTAAGAAGCAGTAAGAAAGTCATCTTAAACGATGCCTGAGTTTGTGAAAAATACTTTCTGATGTCATCATGAAGAAGGAAACTAATAATGGTTAGTTTTTTCATTTGAGTGGAAGGACCATTGGGCAATGGGTTATAGGAGAAGGTTTCTATGCCATGGATTCAAGTCACATAACTTGAGAATTTTCGCTCACTATTCTTAAAAAACATATAAAATTCATTTGATGGGTAGGATAAGATTGAAGTTGAAGAGTTTTATTAAAATTTTGTGATAATATTTTGATAGTAAATGTTGAATAACGCAGTCAAGGGGAGGTCACATCAGCAATCTATGGGCAGTAATTTGAGGGTTGCAGTTGGAGATCTGTGAGCAGTAGTCCGAGGGCTGTAGTTGGAGATCCGTGGGCAGTAATATGAGGGTTGCAGTTGGAGATCCGTAGAATTTGATTATTATAATTAATTAGATTAATATCTTTCCTTTTTATATTTATTCTCCTAATATATATATATGTATGTAAAGATTCCAAAAAATAAAATAGAATTTGAATTTCTTTCTGAATAATTTCTTCAGTAAATATATTACTATCTACTCTTTTGTAATCCTCGTAGCTTTCTAGTACTTGAAATGCATCACCCCATCTCTATTTGGCATCCTAATCTGCATACATATAGAAGGATTAATCTCTGAATCATATAAAAATTGAGTTTCTTTTCATCTTATGATTTCTCTTTCATTCATTCGCTTTTATTCTTAGCAAACAATGAAAATAATTTGCAAAATAACCGCCTGTTGAAGAAACATAACATTTGATTTCTAGTCATAACAGAAGCCATTCCTATTTCTATGTTAAATGCCCATGGGCTCAAGGTTTTGCCTGGATAGAAGCAAAGTGGAGGAAATGGAATGCAATCCAAACATTAAGAGGTTGATTATGAATCTTGAACAATTGATTTAAGTTTTTTTTTTTTTTTCAATCTTTATCTTCATTTCATTTCACTCAAATTCCAAACATCCAAACACTGCTTACATGTTCTCTTCTGAACATCGGCACCGCATCCAAATGCAGCTTAAATTCTCTTATGTAAGTAGGAACTGATAAGCTCACCGTTTGATCAGTACTCTCCTAATCACCAACTACGTAGAAAGGCTTCTCTCCACTCTACTATGCTACCACTCCACAACATAGCGGCTGTCATCTTCAACTTGCTAATTAGTCCAGAATATTCTCTACACTGTCTAGCTATTTATGTATACATTTGGCAATATATGTACTAGTAGTCTAGTAGTTGTCCTCTGTATTTAATACATGTGATTAATGCATTACGGGCTTTCTACACTGCTTCTACCTTTCTCTGCTCTACCATCTTATCTCCTCCATCTTCTTTCATGGTATCAGAGCTACCTAAAACTTAACAGCTCCTTATTCCTTGCTTCTGGGATCGATGTCTGAACCTTCCAGCGCTTCCAACATTGCTTCTAGCTCGCAAACTGAACCTATCAACATGACATATATGCCTATTCTATCGTCTCTCAAGTTTCTCATCACCAATAACAAAATCATCGTACACATTCAGCTTAACAACATTAATTATCCCATATGGAGATTGCATATAATCAAAATGTTCTCAGAAAACAACTTTGCAGGCTACCTCACAAGATAAACCGTTTGCCCTCCAAAATATCTTCTCCACCTCTCCTGAACCCACTCTCAACCCTACATACACCACCTAGACCTTCCTGGATCAAAATCTCTCAGCAGCACTCTTCTCCACCATTTCCCCAACCGGATCCCTACATCCTCAACCTCCCTTCATGCTATGACATTTGGAGCACCCTAGAAAAACATCTACAACCTACCAATAGCTCAAGAGTCATTCAACTCAAAAAAGAACTCCACAATGTCTCAATGAATGACCTTACAATGACTCAACACTTATCCAATGTCAAGTCCCTCATCGACAGCATTATTGCAGCTAGATCTCACATCGATTCAGAGGATGTCATTCTATACATCCTCAACAGCCTTCCTCACACCTACCAATCCTTCAAAACTGTCATTAGAACTACGCAAACTCCCATTAGCCTTGATGGCCTCTACTCTCTCCTTTGCAGTGAGGAGATAAATCTTGCAAACAAGACTCTAAAACTCTCTCAATTAGATACGATCCAGTACGCCTTATCCGCTTCGAGAGGGTGGATCAACAGATACAACAGAGGTCTCTCAAACTTCCACAAAAAGCAATTTCACGAGTCCCCAGATTGTCAGAGGAGCTCCCAGTGTTTCCACATCCAACCAAACACCCTATCAGATCTGCAACAAAATTGGGCACACTGCACCAACTTGATGGCACCGAAGAAACCTACAGTACTGACCCAATCCACCTCCTCAGCTAGCTGGTTTATACTCTCAACAGCAACCAACTTCAAATGATTGGTTCCTGGACTTTGGTGCATCTACACATCTCAGCATAGACATCTCCAACCTTTAGCATCCCATCCCATATACAAGTCCCGACTCAATAGCAACCAGTAACGGAGCAACTCTCCCAATTACCAATAGTGGCCAGGGTCTACTCCCGACACCTTCTTTGCACCGTAAGCTACATCTAAACAATATTCTTCATGTCCCTGTTAGACTGGTCCAGCCAGTCCTGCGGCCGATCCGACCGCAGGATCTAACGGAGCAACTTTGGAAGGTTTTTTTAGGAAGTTTAGGAAGGAAATTAAATGTAGGGACTGCTTAGAGATTTCCTTTTGAATTGTATGCATTAAATATTTTGTTTTCCTAGGGTTATGGCATCTTGAATTTGGCTGAAATTTGAGATCTCTTAAGTTTTTTTGGGCTCTAGCAGTGTCTAGAGATTTGGGAGAGATAGATCCTCCTCTAGATAGAGGATCATTTGTATCTGGGTATTTTATGTTTCCATTTCATCAAATAATACAAATTATCTATTATTTTCGTGATTTTGTGTGGACTTTTGTGGAGAAATCTCGTTGTTTTCCGAAGATTTATAAGAAATACTTGAGATTTACAAGTGTTTCCTACAGTCCCCTCTATCTTTCATAATTTGATCTCCATTGACAAGCTCACATCTGATAATCATTATTCCATCTCATTTGATCCCTCTGGTTTTTGCATCAAGGACCTTCTGACCAATCAAGCTCCTCTTCAAGGGACCAACTGTAATGGTTTGTATCTGATTAGGTTTGTTCCTCCAATGCAGCGCTCTACAGCTCTTCTCTCCCAACCCACCTCACTTCAACTATGGCATGCTCGCTTAGTCCATCCACAACAGTCTACACTACCTCGGCTAACAAAATTGCTGAAAATTCCTAGATCAATTTCCGATATTTCCCTATGTACTTACTGCTTGTAACCTAGCCAAAAGTCATAGGCTACCTTTTAATTTGAAAGAATCGCCTACATCTAAATGTTAGAACTTATTCACACCAATGTTGGGGTCCATCACCCATACGTTCTCTCAATGGCTATATATATTAAGTGATTTTCATTGATGATTTTTCTAAATTCACTTGGCTTTATCTGATACATATCAAAACTGCCAACAATCTCATTAACTTTATAACTATGGCAGAAAATCAATACAACTCTAAAATAAAAACCATTCGATCCAATGGAGGTAGTGAATATCTCAGTCTCAACTTAACTACTTTACTCAACCAAAAAGTAATTTCACACACCTTCAATTGTTCATATACTCCGGAGCAAAACGGAGTTTCTAAACGTAAGCACAAACATCTACTTGAAAAAACACGTATCTTACTTCATGCAACTCACCTCCCCCTGCATTTTTGGCTCGAAGCATTACTTACCTACACTTATCTTATAAAAAGAATTCCTTCTAAAAACACTAAAAAGAAATCTCCATATCAGCTACTTCACAAAAAGCTCCCCTCATATGATCACCTAAAAACCTTTGGGTCCCTTTGTTTTCCATGGATGCAACCACTCACATCAAACAAGCTAGCTCCACACTCCACCGCATGCCTCTTTATCGGCTACTCCAACATTCACAAAGGTTATCGCTGCTACAATCTCCAAAGTGAAAAAAAATTTATCTCCCGTCATGTTATATTCCATGAAAATACCTTTCCTCTCACCTCACACCTCCACCTTAACCCGAGCCTACTACCTCTCCTCCATTACATGTACCACACTCTCTTACTCATACTACCACTCCACAACATTCCCCATATAATCTATAATCCTTCACACAACAATTTGATACATCCTCCTATCCACAACCCATACAAACCACAACCCAACCTTCTGATACACCCAACAACACATTCCCTTCACATTCTAAGTCTCATGTCCACCCACCAACACCCATCACATGCAAACCCGAGCAAAGACAAAACATCTAAAACCCAAAACAGTCCTCAACCTTACAGCTTAGCTCATCGTTCCACCAACCCTAACTTGTTACTCTCAAGCATCAAAATATCCCGAATGGCGCAAAGCTATGTCAATAGAATTCCTTGCTCTCCAACGTAAAGGAACTTGGTCCTTGTTCCACCTCCATCCAAACAACAAATCTTGGGTTACCACTTGACCTACAAAACAAAAGTAAAATAAGACGGCTCAATTGATCGCTTCAAAGATCGCCTTGTGGCTCAATGCTTCAAACAACTATATGGAGTAAACTATTCATAAAACTTCAACCCAGTTGCAAAAATGCCCACGATAAGATTACTTCTTGCAATTGCACTTCATCATCAATGGCCAGTCAGACAACTGGATGTCTTCAACGCTTTTCATCATGTCAAGCTAGATAAAAAGGTATATATGCATTAACCCGTTGGTTTTATTGATTCCCTTCATCCCAACCATGTTTGTAAACTCCACAAAGCAATCTACAGCCTTAAACAATCCTCTCACCAATAGTTCAAAACATTCTCCACTCTCTTCTTTTGTCACGTGGCTTCAAATTCAGCAATGTTGACCCCTCCCTACTCATTTACTCAACACAAAGCATTCAAACATTTTTACTGTTATATGTTGACGATATCTTGGTTACCAGCAATAATGAAACCTTTCTTTTGACTCTCATTGCTAAGCAGCAGTAGCAAGTCTTCCTCAAAGACCTTGGTCGGATCACGTTCTTTCTCGGCATTCAGGTAACCTCCACACCTACATCATATTTCCTTAAGCAAACAAAGTATGTCAATGACCTGCTACTCAAATTTGGCTTTGTTGAATGCAAACTGCCACCCACTCCACTATCCCCTAAGCCTCCCACTCCAATTGACAGCAAAAAATAGTTCTCCCAACCAGCCCTCTACCGTCATACTGCTGGATCCCTGTAATAACTCACCCTCACATGACTCGACATTGCCTATACCACAATCAACAGATGAAACGCCTCCTGCGATACATTAAAGGAACAGTGCACTTTGGCCTCCCAATAACTTGTGGCAAACTTTCACTTCACTCCTACACATACTCTAATTGGGCCTCAGATACTCTTGATAAAAAATCAACATCTCATCATTGCTCCTTTGTTGGTCCCAATCTCATATAATGAAGTGTAAAGAAACAACCAACAGTAGCTAAATCCTCTATGGAAGCAGAGTACAGAGCACTTGCATTAGCTGCTTCGGGCATTGTTTGGCTCCATCAACTCTTAGCAGATTTTTCGATCCCCTCAATCACACATACTCCTCTTTATTGTGACAACATATCAACAACAATTTAGTATTTCACGCTCGCACCGAGCACATCGAAATTGACTACCATTTCATTAGAGATCAAATCAGATTAAAAGAAATAGTTGTTCAACACATTGCAACCAAAGATCAACCTACTGATATCTTCACTTAAGCACTCTCAGGAACACAGTTCTATCAGTTACTAACAAATTGTCTGTCCAAACTCTTGGCCAATCAATTTTGAAGGGCGGTGAAAAGCTTGCCATCTGATCAGTACTCTCCTTATCATCAACTACGCAGAAGGGCTTCTCTCCACTCTGCTATGCTACCACTCCACAACATAATGTTTGTCATCTTCAACTTGCTAATTAGTTCAGAATATTCTCTACACTATGTCTAGCTATTTATATATACATTCCACAATATATGTGCTAGTAGTTGTCCTCTGTATTTGATATATGTGATTAATACATTGCTGGCTTTCTACTCTACTTCTTCTACCTTTCTCTGCTCTACCATCTTATCTCCTTTATCTTCTTTCAGGCACCGCATCTGAATATTTACAGTAGCATGTGTTAGACAGGTCTAGCCGGTCCACGCGTGACCGACCCTGAAACGAAACGGCGGAAGTTTCTGCTTGGGCGGAGGCCGCGCGAGCCGCTCGCCTTGCGGAACTGTTTTAGGAAGGAATTTTGAGGAAGTTTAAGAGGGAAATTGATTGTAGGGACTGTTTAGGGAAGTTCTTTTGATTTGTATGCATTAAATAATTTATTTTTCTAGGGTTTGGGTATCTTGAATTTGGCTAAAATTTGAGATCTCTTAGAATTAGGTTTTCTTTGGGCTCTAGCGGCGTCTAGAGATTTGGGAGAGATCGATCCTCCTCTCGAATTGAGGATCAATTGTATCTTGCTATTTTATTCATCGTCTAGTGGAATACGAATCTTGCTTGGAGTTTTCTTTCAAATTTCCTATGAAAACTGCTGTTAAACTGCTGTAAATAGCAGTTTTGCTGTGTTTTCTGCTGTGGACAGCAGCCCAGTCACTGTTCTCGCTGTTTTTCAGAAGATCTACGAGTGATACCTATCAAATTGGTATCAGAGCATCGTTTTTGGGACCTTAGGTGGCTGAAATCCTGATTTTTCAGCAAGCTTTTGGCTTCCGGAAGTGATATTTTTGAGATCCGTTGGGAAGAAAGATGGCCGAAAAGAAGGTTGACGTCTTGGAAGGCGAAGTCGACCAATTGAAAGCCGATTTGGAGGAAAGATTCTGCAACTTTCAAAATCAAATCACCTCCAACAATGAAAGGTTGGAGGGGAAGTTCACCGCGATGGAGGAAATGATGAAGAAACTACTTGAAATGAAGACCAATCCGGCGACATCGGAAGTAAGGGAGCTACCGACGGCCATGGCATGGGAGGAAATCCGAACCCCTAGAGGGGGAGGAGAAATTCGGCTGTGGAGATCCTGGAGGGGGAAAACAACATGCCCCCTCTAGAACCGTTTTCTAGAGAGGAGATGAGTAGGGTATACGACCAACGGGAGGCTGATTTGGTTGGAAGGAGGGAAGAATTCAATCGTTGAGTTGCTGAATTTGAAAGAATTCAGCGGCGAGGTGATGAATTTGAAAGGGGAAGGGAAGAAATTCATCGCCGAGGTGCTGAATTCGAAAGGATTCAGCGTCGAGGGGCTGTTTTTGAAGGAAGAAGGGAGGAACGTCATCGTCGAGATGCTAAATTTGAAGGAATTCAGCGTCGAGGTGATGATTTCGAAGGAAGAAGAAGTGAGTATGAAGAGGGATTCGAATATAACCGTCGGAGGGATGATCGGGACACTTGGGGGAGTCTTCCCCTTCGAGGAATGGGAGGTTATGGAGGGTACCGGGAAAACAGAGGAGACCCGCGGGTGAGGAAGCTAAAAATGCCCATCTTTGAGGGCGAAAACGGCCATGGCTGGATCTACAAAGGGAGCGTTACTTCGCTATGAACGGGTTGACAGAGGATGAAAAATTGACAGCGGCGGGTCTGTGTCTGGGCGACGACCACTCTTCTAGCACCCAAGGGGCCTGCATCAGGCAACAGTAATGAGACCACCCAGGAGAAGCCAGTAGGAGGAGGGAGTGGGGAAAATTTCAAGAAGCTGACAGAGAAGGAGATGCAGGATAAGAGGATAAAGGGGTTATGCTTCAGATGTGATGAGAAGTACATGCCAGGGCATAGGTGCAAGGGCTGAACTCTTCAGGTTCTCCTTGTCTGTGAAGACGGGGAAGACGAGGAGGGAGGTGGGAGCAGATCTGGAAAGGAGGAGGAGAAGTTGCACCTGAATGTGGCAGAAGTCTCTCTGAACTCTGTAGTGAGATTCACTTCGAGTCACACTATGAAAGTGAAAGGAGAGATAGCTGACCTTGAGGTGGTGGTGCTAATTGATAGTGAGGCTACCCACAAATTCATTTCCACTCAGGTCGTCAACCAACTGGGAGTGAAATTGGTGGACATTGGTTGTTATGGAGTGATGATGGGTACATGAAAGGTTGAGAAAGAACAAGGAATCTGTAAATGAGTGGTGTTGACCATCCAGGGGATTCAAGTAAGGGAGGACTTTCTCCCACTAGAGTTAGGAAGCATGGATGTCATCATGGGGATGAAGTGGTTGCAAACCTTGGGGGAAACCAAAGACAATTGGGGAGCACTCACGATGGAATTAATGGTGGATGGGAGAAGGGTGGTCATAAGGGGAGATGCAGGGCTATCCAAAGCCATCACATCACTTAAGACCATGGTTAGGGCCGCCCAAGAGGTTGGGGAAGATTATCTGGTGGGACTACACAGGCTGGATGCGATCAGATTGGAAGAGGGAGGGGATGCTCCTCCTTCCGTGCAGCCCTTGGTTCAACAATACAGTAAGGATTTTCAGTCACCTTAAGGATAGCCACCTCCACCGGAACACGAGCATATCTCTATCTTGAGGACAAGGTGGATTTTTGGGAGGGGAGTATTGTTAGACCGGTCGTGGGACCGGCCCAGACACGAAACGGCGAAAGTTTCCGCCTGGGCGGAGGCCGCGCGAGCCGCTCGCCTTTTGGGACTGTTTTAGGAAGTAATTTTGAGGAAGTTTAAGAGGGAAATTGATTGTAGGGACTGTTTAGGGAATTCCTTTTGATTTGTATGCATTAAATAATTTATTTTTCTAGGGTTTGGGTATCTTGAATTTGGATGAAATTTGAGATCTCTTAGAATTAGGTTTTCTTTGGGCTCTAGCGGCGTCTAGAGATTTGGGAGAGATCGATCCTCCTCTCGAATTGAGGATCAATTGTATCTTGCTATTTTATTCATCGTCTAGTGGAATACAAATCTTGCTTTGAGTTTTCTTTCAAATTTCCTATGAAATACTGCTGTTAAACTGCTGTAAACAGAAGTTTTGCTGTGTTTTCCTGTTGTGGACAGCAGCCCAGTCACTGTTCTCGCTGTTTTTCAGAAGATCTACATGTGATACCTATCAGCATGCAAAGGTTCTGGTCTTGATGATGTACGTAGAGACTGATGAATAAGTAAATAAAGCTCAACACTTAAATCTGAGTTGCTAGCTTAGGGTGTTCCAAAACAAATTGGAAATAGTGAATAATGGAATTGTTTTATTGTCATGAAAAGGAAGAACAACAATAACAACAACAGCATCATCAAGTCTTTGTCCCACTATATGGGATCAGCTACATGAATCCTTTTTTGCCAGTGTCCTGTTAAAAGTCAAATTTTCATTTAAATCGAAAGATCATTTCTAATATTTTCTAACCAAGTCTTTTTAGGTCTACCTCTACCTTTCTTAACACAAGTCAAATCTAAAACCTCAACTTTCCTAACCGGATCAACGGAAGGCCTCCATTTAATGTGACCAAACCATCTAAGGCGACCCTCTTAAATCTCATCTTCCACTGGAGCTACTCCAACCTTTTCACGTATATGCTCATTTTGTATCCTATCTCTAAGGGTAAAGCCACTCATCCACCTAAGCATCCTCATCTCTGCAACACTTTTTTTTTCTTTTAATCTCTGCAACACTTAACTTAGTATGATGCCTCTCTTTTAATGGCCAACATTCGGCACAATGAAAAAGAAGAAAAGTCTTGCAAAATATAGTTTAGATCCAAGCAAACGAGAAATAGAGGTATCAAGCCAAGTACCTCGCCGCCATGCTCCAAGACGGTGTCTTCTACAACATCACTTAGCATCTCAATGGAACGGCAAAAACCAAAGATGCATAGCCTTCTTCCCATGTCAAGTCCCTAAATACATATTTTAACTTTGCGTAAATTCTAAAGCAAAAAAAACTTCATGCATTAAAATAAAAGGGCCCACTAACATTTGTAGCTGCAATATCAAAAAGGGCACCGAGACAAAGGACTTGATTAGGATCCATGTAATAACTCTCTCGAAACCTCTGGGACCTTTGAGAAGCCTTTGACGTCCTTCGTCTCTTCTGCTCAAAGGATAAAGATTATTAAAAACTTAACGGGAAAGAAAATACAATTTTCTTCATCACAAAGTAAAGAAATTCTGTAACATCAGGGAATATTTATGTTATTCTATCCAACCCACTTGCAAGTTGCATCTGAAAATGCTGCAAGTGGAGCTGAAAAAAGGTAACAGAAACATTTAGGAGCAACAATATTTGATTGTTACATAGTCCCTATCTGGGAAAGAATCAACGCTACAGATCAAGCTTTAGAAACATAATAAAAATAGCTTTATTAAGCTACTTACAAAAAACAACAATACATCTAACAGACAAAGAACAAGCTGCAAACTAGCATTGGTGTCACATTCACCAATCGAACAAAAGCCCATTGGTTGCACAGAAATCAAATAAGAATAATGAAAAAGCTTATGGAAAGTAATTACATCTGAAGTAGGAAAGCGGCGAGGAACAAGGGAACCCCCAATTTGAACAAGTCCTTCAGAGGTAAAGAGAGTAATTTTATCTTCAGGAATCCATTGGAAAGCTGCAGGCGTTTAGAAAAGTGTCAGATTTTCATATCTGTAAAAAGGAATGTGGACATGAACTAAATTAAAAATAACAATGAAAACTGAAATACAGCTGCTATTAGATATGTGATCCACATAATCATCAAGCATGAATGAGCACCAACTATTTCCTTAAATTGCTAATGAAAACTAATGGGGGTATTGAAATTTCATAATAAGTACCTTAAGATAACTTGCATTGGAGACATCGGAATAAAAGATGGATTACTAAGCTTCGGCAGGTCTTAATAATATTAGTTTAGGTTTCAAGAATTAAAATATCCTTATGTCTAGCTTTGAAGATGAAGAAATAGTTATTAGGTCAACTTTGCACCAACGACACTGGTATAACAAACAAAATCCAAGGCATGAAACACAATTAACACCTTTCAACTTTAGCCTTGCTTTCGATTTAAACAATACTGCTACAACTTAATAACATACCCTTTATACCCTTATGGGTGGTCATGTAGTGTTGTAGCCCGAAGGGCATTTCAGTCTTTGTTATTTTTCTTCTCATGAGGCCTAGGCTAGCTTTCTTGTATTGAGAAGATGATTATTGAATGAAAATTTTTGCTCTTGTGTTCTCTTTGTGAGTTCCCTCTTGAAGATCTCTTAGTGAGTTCGTTTCTCCTAGATCTCTGTGTGAGTTCTAGGGAAAGCCCAAGGTGAGGGCAAAAGCAATACCGGCCACTCATTGGAAGCATCCTCGACTCGTGGTTTATTTTATCTTATTGTTTTCTTCTCCAAATCTTGTTTTCCTCCTCCCCATGCCAAGCCCTACCCGAGATCCCATCATCCACCACGTTACTCATTAGCTTCCTCCACCACAACCCAAGCTCCATCAAAAAATCCCCAAACCCGATGGCAAGCCTGATGCCGGACTACTTAAATGAAATGTTTAGGAACTTCAATTAGGCTTTGCACAATTCTTCGATTAGAATAATTTTAGAATAATAGTTACGAGCAATTCTCAACGAAGATTCAAAATAAATAAAGAGGTACTTTGCTTAGGCATAATCACATGCTCGGAGTTTTGAAGTTTTCAAGATAAATAAGAAAATATAACAACACAAAGTAGTAGCCTTCAAAATAATCCCTAATCTAACAACGAGAGTTAGGATGAAAATAAAATACGCTCGATTCCTATGATTACTAGGCTTAGCAAGAGCATTGGGAGTAGCCTTTAGCGAGTACAATCTTAACCAACGAGAATTTAGATTTTAGAAGACTTTGAATGCAAGTGGAGAAGGGAAAAAACCGTTGCTCAAAGAGTTGTGTAGATCCGTCAATCATTATCTTCAACGGCTTTGTCCCTGACTTCCCTTTGAACCGATTGGATGCGTCTCTCGTCCCTTGCAATCTGAAAATAATTCCAGCTTGTCAATCCCGAAAATCTGAGAAGTTTTCTCAGATTCTATTGGACCAAGGTGGGAAAATCAAGAAGAAAAAAAAACTAGCCTTAGTGAGACTAGTGCATGAAAACAAATCTCCCTACAGGTTTAGGAAGAGGAGACTTAATTCATGCATTCAAGAGAGGGGAAAGGTGGTGACGGGGAAGTGGATTTGGCGGGCTAGAGGGGAAGAGGGGTGGGAGGCGGTAATGCAAACAGAGAACCAGAAAATTATTTCCTCTTCCCAGCCGTGGAATTAACGCTCAGGCCCATCAATACGGGTGAGGGAATTTCGGTCCAGCAGGCATTAAAAGATTTCAAATTATTTCCTTAGTATAGTATTATGAATTAGGAAATAACTGAAGAAGTCATTAACAGGTGGAGGCGTGAAGTTGGCGGCATACAGGGAGGATGGGAGGGAAACTTTTGAGAGCAAGTAAGTTTCCTAATTGAAATTCATACAGTTGGAAAGAAACGAGTCATTCCTCTCTTAATGAAAATTCAAATAGGATCTCAATTATGAACCTTCCTAGTATGGACTTTATATATTAGGAAATATTGTGAATTTCAAATATTTGAAATTTGAATTCAAATACATCCCAAAATAGAATCAACCATAATAGGAAACTAATAAAATATGGAGGGATGTGAGGTGGCAACCGGTGGATCAGGGAAGAGGTGGCCGGCGGTGAGGGAGGAGTTGGCCGGCGGTTTAGTGGAAAAGGATAGGGGGATCGGTGAGGTGGCTGCGGGTTTCGATGGTGGAGGGGCGATTGGTCGGAAGATGGGAGGAAGAAGAAAACAAAATAATTGGCGAGACCACGAACCCAACTTATCTAGGTTGGTGGGTATTGCGCGAATCTTCTTCCTCTCCTAGGAAGCTCTCCCCATTAGAACTCTCAAGCTCTTAGTGCTCATGCAAGAAGTAATTTTCCTCATCAATAATTCATTAACCTCGTGGAAGGACTTGGAATTTTGGAGAAGAGTGCTGACAAAACTGTTGTCCAGAGAGTTCGGCATCACTTCCTGCTATCCCGGAAATCCCTGCAGTCACCATCTGCTGTCCACGTTTGTGGGGAAATTTAATCCCGGCGAAGTGCGAGGAGGTTCGTGGTTGCTGCCCACTTCATTCCCAACTACCATACAACTTTGCCGGAGCTTGTATCTCTCTTGCCTTTGGGTAAAATCGACACCTGACTCTCTATCTTCATAGTTGTATCCTTGAATGTGAATTTATTATCTTCATGAAGATCATATTAACGCTTCTAAGCTAAAACCTAGTAATTGGATGAGTTGTGTGAGGGATCTTCTCATAGCAACTAATCTTATTGTTAGTATTGGAATTTCTCGTTGAAACCACTCAAGTAAGACTTAGTTGATTATTTAATGATCTCAACCTCTTGCATGTGTTTAGACCTAAGCTATTTTATCACCTTAATGTTATCTTATCGTTTACATCAATAGAGGATTTTGCTTAACATTGTTCTCTAAAATTTACAAGTGCAAACTTCCTTAAGCAACTCATCTTTCGCATGGATTGTTTCCCATCAAAGATCCTTCTAATTTTTACATTCAGATTCTATAATCTGAAGCAACCAGTACTTAATATAGCCACTTGGTGATATATTACAATATCTATATCAACCCACTCAAATTAATTAGGGGGTTCATAAGATATAATTTATGTTAAATGCAAAATGCCTCATAAATGATAATATGAAGAAGTAGAACTTCTATGTTGTCATCCATAAAATGAAGCTTACTTCAGACTTCATTATGAACATCACTTGAAGAATATCACCATCGTAAGCTTAAATTAGTTTGAACATTGTGAATGTAAATCACGAAGAAAGAGGATGGAAACTGCCAAATTCAATACAACAGAAAACACAATTCCCACACACACATGAAGTTATTCATTATCTATCATATTTTAAACAAGTTCAAGTTTTTATTTTCCTCATTTGAAGAAGTTCCATCAGATAAAAATATAGTTTTTCTCTCACATGGCAACTGAAATAAACATCCAAGTATACTCTACTACAACATTCTTAGGTGAACTGAATATGATAACGCATGCTAATTCAAAACTACATTTATTTATCAGCATTCTGGAAACCATTTTTTTGCCCAATTAGATAAACATTTTACCAATCATCCACACAACTTTTTTGGTAAGAAAACTATTGTCTACTCAATGAAGTTAAGTGACATCGGCCACAAGCGCTATACTGGTGATAAGTTTAATAGTATCTTCAAAATAATCACCCCAGAAATTCACAGATACGATTTCCAACTTGCTCCTTCATATACCAGCAAAATGATCCGCATCCCTTCACAAAGCAAAACAATTGGAAACTCCTAACCACTTAACCCACAAAACGAAAACATGTCATAAAACCACAACAGATTTTGATAACATTTGTAAACCATTCTATAACATTATACAAGAAGAGGAAGAAGCAGCATAAAAACATAAGTAAATATGAGAAATCTGATTACATTCATTTCTTCTCCTTGTTGCTTACAGCACAGTGCAAAGCTTATACATGAATGGCTAAGCACATCCAATGGCGAACCTTCCTAGAGGAAGTTACAAATGAACGGCAGTATAAAAAGCAGAACGTGCGTCAGAGAAAGTGGAATCTGCTGCAGGTATAATACAGCAGAAAATTGTGAAACAATAATGCACTATATTAAAAAACTTTATCTATCTTAACAGAGCCCTGCAAATTGACAGTTCGGTCGCGAATTGTCAAGTTGGAACAAAGGAGTCGAAATTTAGCATGCGAGAGAGAATTGGTAAATATGTTAGCAATTTGATCATGAGTAGAAATATGATGCACCGCCATAGTTTGATTTGAATAAAATCGCGAATAAAGTAGTGATCAATTTCAATATATTTAGTTCTAGCATGAAACACAGGATTTTGAGCAAGAGCTAAGGAAGAAATATTATCACAATAATGCGAGGTTGGTGTAGTAAATGAAATATGAAACTCTTGCAAGAGTCTTTGTAACCATATGATATCAACAACAACTGAAGAAAGAGCCTTGTATTCGGCCTCAGAAGAAAAGCAAGCAATGGTAGATTGTTTTTTAGCTGACCATGAATGATTGTAAGTCCAAGGAAAATGCAGCATCAAATTTTGGACTTCCTATCAACGGAATCCCCCGTCCAGTCAGAATCAGCATACACCAAAAATTGCATCAAACCCGAAATTATTGGCAAACCATACTCTAAAGTTCCTTTAAGGTATCAAAGCATGTATTACCTACGGGGAGTGCATAAATTGACAAAGTTTGTTTACAGCAAAAGAAAGATCAGACCGAGTAATGCTAAGGTATTGGAAAGAACCTACCAAGTGTCAATATAACGTAGAATCAAGAAATGGATCTGAACCATTGGGAAGGATAGTAGGTTTTAGCGGGAGAGTCGTGGCAACGAGTTTGCAATTGCTCATATTGGCTTTGTCGAGAAAAGTAGCAGCATACGTAGACTGATGTAGCGGAAATCCAACTGTTTAGACATAATAGAAATGCCTGACAACTGTGATGGAGAGCCCAATAATTTCATTTGAAATCTGTTATTAAAGTCACAAAAAAGTGCTGCAATTTTGACATAATTATTTCCATTCACAAGAATATCATCAGCATAAAGAAGTAGGTAGATAGAACTAGTGTGTTGGTGATAAATAAACAGTGAAGGATCATCATAACTCGACTTAAAACCTCACCGCACCAAATGTGTAGTAAACATAGTGGGGTGCATGTTTTAAGCCATATAACGCTTTGTTCAATTTACAAACATGAGAGGGATAAATAGGATCCTTAAAATATTGAGGTTGCTGCATGTAGAGAGTATCCGAGAGATCATCCAATAAAAATGTATTAAATACATCCGGTTAATGAACAACCCACTTAAAATGCAGAGAAATGCACATAAGCATACATATAGTGGAAATTTTAGCCACATAACCAAACGTATCAATAAAATAAATGCCAAATACTTGTTTGTGACATTGAGCCACAAGTCAAGCTTTATGTCGAACCACAGATCCATTGGCATGATATTTGGTATTAAACACTCATTTGCAGCCAAAAAATGTTTCATTAGACGGACGAGGAACCAAGGTCCAAGTGCCATGATTTTGTAATGCCTGAAACTCCTCCGACTTAGTCTAACGCCAATGAGCAAATTTAATAGTAGCAGAGCAACAAGTTGGATCGCCAACAAAAGATAGAGAGTGATATAGATTAAATATGGTGTGTGGTTTAAGGTGATTTGTCTTAGCACGAGTAAGCATAGGATGAGATGGGGGCAAAGGTGGAGGCGTAGCAGCAAGTTGAGGAAATGGAGAGGTATTTTGGGAAATTGTTAGTGAGCCAGAGGATGGCAGTGAAGGGATAGAAGAATATAAAAAAGAAGATGATGTTGGAGAACTGATAGACTGCTAAGGAGAATAGGAGCGGAGGACGAAAACTAAAAATGGGAAGAAGGAACCAGAAGTAACGAAGGAATGATAACTTGTCTTATTAGGTTGACGAAGGAATGATAGACTTGTCTTGTGAGGTTGACATGACCGGGGAGGATGAATGAGTTTGCTTAAACGGGAAGACATGTTCTTGAAAGATAACATGACAAGCAATTATCACTTTGCCTGAGATTGGGTTAAAGCAGTTATATCCTTTGTAAGAGTCAATATCGCCAAAGAAGATAAAAGGTATGGCTATTGTTGAGAGTTTATGCTTGACATGAGGTGGTGAGAGCGGATAACATCGACAACCAAACACACGCAAATGATTGTAAGTAGGAGTTTTCCTATATAGCAGTTCATATGGGGACTGCGAGTGTGTAGTGGGATTAGGCATGTGATTAATGATATAAATAGCAGTTAAGGCAGCAAAGATCCAGAACTGATAAGGTTGATGAGCATCAAGTAAAAGCGTTCGAACAGTTTCAATTATATGTCTATATTTGCATTTGGCAAGACCATTTTGTTCAAGAGTATAAAGACAACTATATTGATGAAGAATGCAAAGTTTAAAAGGAAAATAATTAAATATAGAGCAAGTGAATTCACCACCATCATCAGTTCTTAGAGTCATTGTTGAGTGACTAAATTGTTTATCCACCAAACACTTAAATTGATGGAATTTAAGAAATGTGTTAGATTTATACAACATAGGATAGAGCCAACAGTAGTGAGAGAAATCACCCACAAAAATAACATAATAACGAAAATCATGAATATAAGCAAAGAGGGATGGGCCTCAAACATCCGAATGTATTAATTGTAATGATTTACAACTAATAAATGTAGATGAAAAAAAAGTCAACTTATGACATTTAGTTAGATTACAAGTATGACATGACATAACTAAGCTAGGATGCAATTTATGAGCATGGAGATGATGGTATGATGGGGTTGACCTAAGCGCTGATGCCAAAGAGAAAAAGAAGCTACAAAACTTAAGAATGCATCAGAAGGAGATGAGTTGGACGAGACTGAAGAAGATAAAGGTCATTATGGTTGCAACCATAGAGAAGAAGCTGATGGGTCTTCGAGTCCTTGAGTAGAAAACCAGTGGAGTCAAATGTGATATAACAACTATAATGAGCAAGAAGTTGTTGAACAAATAGAAGATTATGAGAAAAAGATGGCACATGATATAAATTAGGAAGGTAAAGCTTATGTGCAGGTGTTGGGAGAAGGCTTTGGCCAGATGCTGCAATGGGTAGTTGTTGGTCATTGCCAACTAAAATATGTTGCAAAAAATAATATGATTGAGCATTTTGTATGTTAATGATGTCTGGAGTAATGTGAAAAGACGCACCAGTATCAAGGAACCAATTTTGAGAAGATGAATCATCAGTTGCAAGGGCAACAAAGGCAGCTGAGGTAGAGGAAGGTGTTTGATAAGTAAGATTAGCCTTGAACTAGCAATTAACTGAACAATGTCCCTTCTTAAGACAGATCTGACACTCAACTTGAGATGCTGAGGATCTAGCAGATTAGTTGAATGCCAAACAACCACCACGAGAAGCAAACTGACCGCCGATTGTAAGAAAAAGAAGCCAGACCTCTTGAATGGCCACGGGTTGCAATAAGAGCAACTTGATGAGAAGAACTGTCAGAAAGATGAATGTCACCTAAAGCATCTTTAGCAATATTAACTTCTTCACAGCAAAAGAGGGAATAAAGAACATCCAAACTAAGAGGTTGAAGATTTGTGTGAATTGCTATTTTAAAGGCATTGTAAGATGGTGGAAGTCCATTTAATGTATAAATAATGACATCCTCGTGTCGAGAGGGATGCCAACAGCAAAAATGACATCAACTTTGGATTTGACAGTAGACAAATATTGTATTATCGATTGATCTTTCATGGCTAAATCATTCAGTTCACCCCTCAATTGAATTCTATGACAGAGATTTGATGATTGAAATCATTTATCAAGGGTGAGCCAAACACTACATGTGGTTAGATTCAAAAAATATGGTAACAATGATGATGAAATTACATAATTGAGAGCAGAGGTCAGATTCTAATCTATTAACAGCTACTGAGTATAAGACGGATTAGGTGCTGGAACACCATCAACAGCAGCGACGAACATGGGAGGTTGAACAGAAGTGTCAGTTAGAAACCCGTCAAATCCATAGCAATATCACAGAAGCCTAGTTGGTCAACAACAGGAACTAATGGCATGGGCTTACTCGGTTCATCGGAAGGGGTAGAAGATTCCCATGGATACGGGCCATAAGGGTCCCCCCCGAAGCAGCCGCCCTCGCCGGAATCCCCAGATCGGCATCGGATAGTGCGAACCGAACGAGAGCGAACAGAAGAGGATGAAGAAGAGGCGAAGTTTTGCTTCGGGTATAATGGATCTGCCGGCCGGCAGAGAACCGGTAGAAGATGGAAGCTTGACGAGAAATAGAGCGCTGCTGATTCCGCCATGTCCAACATCCAACAATGGAGAGAGAGACAGAGAGAGGAATAAGGTATAGGCGGTGGAGGAAGAAAAGAGAGCAGGAGTATTTTCCGTGGAAGAAAAGTAAAAAAGTCAGTTGTAGCCGTTCCTGTGGCCGCTCAAAGTCGAAGACTTATTTGCGCGGAAAACTTCGTGCAGGCTTGGGGTTACACTTCAAAAATCAAAATAGCCCAGTAGCCCTCAGAATATTCATATATAATAAGCCTTTTTTTAAGAAATTTGTTATTACTTTATTTTAAATTATAATTACAATTATTATTTAACTATTATTTTTTATTATTTTTGATAAATCTTTGTGTAAGAAATTATTTTTTATAATTGTTGCGGACTAGAATATACGTGGCAATAGAGTTAAAAAACTTCCGTCTCAGCGATGTGCGGATATCTAGCACATACACAGAGGAGAAATAGCAACATCAGGATTTTTACGTGGAAAATCTTAAAAGGGGAAAAACCACGGGGTCACGCCCAGTTAAAAGAGTTTCACTAGTGTTTGTTTGAAATACAAGAGGTTGACTCGTCCTTAAAATTTAGGACGATTATATTACAATCAATCTTTTCAGGATGAAAATCAGTTACAACGTCGAGCAGAGTTCCGACGTCACTTGGAGATTGGGTGGAATTTTGGCGTCCTTCGGAGGTCAGGTAGAATTCCGACGTCATTCAGAAGTTGAGCGGAATTTCGGCGTCGAGGAGAACTCTAGGGTCACTTGAGCATTGGACAAAACTCCGGCATCGTTCGGAAGTCAGGCGAAATTCCAACGTCCAACAGAACTCTGGCGTCGTTCGGAAGTCCCACAGCATTCCGGCGTCGGGTAGAACTCTGGCGGTGGTCGAGGAGGAGTTCTTCCCTCCTATCCTTCTCTTCTTCTTCCTTGGGTACCCCCCCCCCCCCCCCGCCGCGTCCCCCCCCCGTCATGCGAAATTAGAGGTCTATTTATAGATATTATGGAGTGGCATAGATTATAAATAGATAAGAGATCATGGGTAAATAGGGAGTGGTCGAATGGAAGGACGATATTGAATCCCTTGATCATGTATCGCTCATCAGACATTTGAAGGTCTTAATGATGTTGGAATTTGGCGATCTTGGGCTCGCTGGATTTGTCTCGTCGATCCGCTCGATTCGATTATAATAATGTCATATTTGGAAATCGTATGGTAACTCAAATTATGGTTTGAAGTTTTTGATAGCGCTTCGGGTGCTTGAATTGGACTCATTTTGGCTCGGATTGAGTCAAATTTGGTGTCATTGAGTTTGTATTTTTGAGAAGCTCATTTTGACTATAAGTTTGCTGAAATCGAAGTTCATGTTATCCCGAATTTAATTTTTGAAGCTTGCGACTTGATTTTGCCTTAAGATTCGTGTCCGATCAAAGATAAGTTTTTTAGAATATATAAGTTGTCACCCTATTTTCGGACGTCCAAGCTCCATGAGTCCAAAAATAGGCGTCACAAACTTGGGTGAATTTTCCATGTGATTCAAAATCTGATCTTGCGTGTAGGAGCCTCAAATGGATTTAAAACTGTCGAAATTGAGTTTGTAACGTCAAAAACGGTCCCGGGGACCCCAAAAACGTCAAATTTGGTCTTTTAAGATCAAAAATCGGTCCCATGATTGTTTAGGAAGATGAACCGACCGGCTGGCCGCCCCCGCCACTATCGGTGGCACCGAACCCACCGGCCAGCGCCCCGGGAGGCCTGGGGCACGTCTAGCCCGCTCTGCGCCTGCCTAGGGCTCTCCTGGGCCCGCTCCGTGCCCTCTTGGCCCGCCCGATTGAACCCGCTTCGTGCCCACTTGGCCCGCCGCCAACGCTTGTCCCTCGCGGTCAGGCGCCAGTTCAGGCCGGCAGTTCGTCGCCTCAACCGACTTAAAAAATATTATTTTTATTATTTTTTTATTTGTAAAAAATCCAAAAAAAAATTTAGTAAATTTTGGAAAATTCTAAAATGATTGAAACTCTAGAAACTTCCCTCTTCTCCCAAAAAAAATATAAATAGACCCCTAAGGCCAAGAGAAAACCTGAACATTCTCCTCTTCTCCCTCTGGCTCTCTGATAGTTGAGGCTTTCCGTTGTTTTTCAGTAGGTGACTTTCTCTACTTGATTCGGCACCCCTCCTCTTGTACAGAAGTTAGAATTTTTTTTCCTCCTTTTCTCCTTCTGGCTTTTTTACAGTTGAGGCATTCTGCTGTTTTTCGTAAGTGACTTTTCCTACTTGATTTGGCGCCCATCCTCTTGTACAAAAGTTAGAATTTTCCTCTCTTTTTCTCCTTCTGGCTTTCTTACAGTTGAGGTATTCCGCTATTTTTTATAGGTGACTTCCCCTACTTTATTTAGCGCCCCTCATCTTATACAGAAGTTAGAATTTTCTCCTCTATTTCTCCTTATGCTTTCTTATAGTGGAGGCGTTCCGTTGTTTTTCGTATATGACTTTCCCTACTTGATTCGCGTCCCTTCTCTTGTACATAAGTTAGAATTTCTTCTCCTTTTTTCTTCTTTCTCCCCCATTTTTCTTCCTGCTCTAGAAGCTTTCCGCTATCTTTCGTAGGTGACTTTCCCTACTCAAATTTAGCGCTCCTCTTTAGTGTTGAAGGAAAAAAAATTTTACTTCTCGTTCTAACTTTCTAACAGGGGAGGCATGCCGCTATTTTTGGTAAGTGGTTTTTCCTACACAAAATCAGTGCCCCTCTCCTCGTATAGAAGTTGGACTTTCTGCAGCCACTTCTCTTCTTCCACCTCTCTCTTGAAGATCCTGCGGTCGAGGAAAAATCAATGATTAACAGCATACAGTTGGAAGTCCAATGAAAGTCTCAAGACGAGTAGAATTCCATCAACGGGAGGAAGCTCAATGTCGGGAAGAATTCTGACAAAAGTCCCGCGGTGTGTAAAAGTCCTACGACAGGAGGAAGCTAAGCGTCGGGTGGAATTCCGACGAAAGTCTAGCGACGTGCAGAAGTCCAGTGATGGGAGGAAGCTCAGCGTTGGGGGAATTACGACAAAAGTCCAACGATTTGCAGGAGTTCAATAACAGCAGGAAGTTCAGCGCCGGGTGGAATTCTAATAAAAATTCTGCAACGGGCAGAAGTCCAACAATGGGAGGAGAACCATAAGTGGTGAGTAAACGAGGAGGATTTTGATGTTATTTGAGAAAAAGTTCATCGGCAGTCAACGGACGAGTATAGGGCTAAATGAGAGAGTTGGAGGATATGTTGTTATCATTAGTTGAGCAAGAAGATAATGACTGATATAAAGTAAAGGACCACCGGCATACAATAGATGAATGGCCGATGATGGTGAGTGTTCAATGGCATTTTGCAAAGGCAATATACATCCATACGGGAGTGTGCTGTCATCATATATCTATGTATATATGATATAAATGTATTTTTTGACTTCAACTTCTAGTGAGAATAAATATACACTTGAACTTGATGTGCAATTTTGCATTGTAACTTCAATGATATTGTATATGAAGTTGAGATTATTGTATGAACTCGATGCTTGTATTTCATTTGAAATAAACTCGTACTCCAAAAAAAACTAAATTATTTTATGCCACTTTGACATATGCTTTGATAAATATGCCTTTCGTGCTTTTTGAGGTTTTTTAGCCTTCCCAGATTTTATATTCATGTGTGGAAGAGGCTGAGAGAATCCACTAAGGATGTAAAACCTATCTGAGGTTGTATGTCAGAGCCCTGCTCGATGACATTTACCTGTGTGAAAGAGGTCGAGAGAATCCACCAAGGATGTAAGACCTATCGGAGGTTGTATGTTAGAGCCCTGCTCGATGATGTTAACCTGGGTAGAAGAGGTCGAGAGAATCCACCAAAGATGTAAGACCTATCCGAGGTTATATGTTAGAGCCCTACTCGATGACATTAACCTATGTTAAAGAGGTCAGAAAAATCCACCAATGATGTAAGACCTATCTGAGGTTATATGTCAGAGCATTTGCTCAATGACATTAACCAGTATGGAAGATGTCAGATCAAATTCCCCTACGATTGATCATCCAGTGATTGAGATACAATAAAGATTGTGTATTTCTCAAATTACTAATAAAGAGATTATATTAATCAGTAATTTTTTATTGTCATTTTTATAATTTTAAAATGTGACAATATTAAAATGGAGTGAACAACACATTACTATGTCATATAAGACAATACAATAAGTCCCTAGTATGACTTAGGGATATACAAGTTACACTATACTCAACATATAAGATATACATACAAGGATAACATAATGTTTAACTTTGAAGAAAATATTAGGGATATCAAAGTGACACCCTATTTAATAGGATGAAACAAGATAAGTAGCATTACTAATACAACTGCACGAAGTGTGCGGTCATTCAATCTCACCAACCATTGGAATATTATTCAATGGTTACCTTTGTTGTTGATTTTGTCCCCCAGCGGGACGAGCTCCCTCTTGGGTAGGTGGATCTCGAATAAATTGTTGAAGATAGCCCTGACAGATAGGTCTTTCAATCTCATCCTTGAGTTGCTTACAGACTTCGATATTGTGACCACGACTACGATGAAAGTGACAGTACTGATCTGGATTTCATGTGTTTGACTTTAAAGGATTCGGCCATTTTACTATATATTGATCTTGAACGGCCAGCAATAAATTTGTTCGGGATGTGTTGAGTGGGGTATACTCCTTCTCATATCGAGGTTTCCATCGTAGTAATGGAGGTCTAGGTGGTAGATTATTCTTCCCTTACTTTTTCTATTGTTAGGATGAATTGTCCATTCTAGGTGCACATTTGTGCTTCTCATTGGTTTGCTCAAAATGCTTCCTGTGAGCATTTATAATTTCATCAACTGAGATTTGTGCCTCCACATGATGAATCAGGTCGGCAAATGAATGAACAGTATCGCGCATGAGTGTCGAATAGAAGGGGCCAGGATGAAGGCCTCCAAGAAAGACCCCTCTTAGTAATTCACGATCTACTCCAGGAATTTATCGAGCCTCAGTGAAAAATCGCTAAAAATACTCTTTCAAAGATTCTCCTTCATTTTGATGGATCCCGGAGAGGTAAGAAGAATTCTAACCAATTT